AATTTAAGCTTTCCACAGATGCTTCGCAGAACTTCTATCAAAATGTCAAACAAGTTGTGGAAGCACTTTTCGACTAAGTTTCATAAAAATAACTAAAGGTATCATGTAGACTAATCACTCCACCAAGTATTATATGTATTATAACAAGGTGGTAATAAAACTGAACTTAAAGCAAATAATAAAAGCAATCTTGCTGAAGCTTGGGAAGACGCGATTTACCAAGTTCAGATTGATTTCAGTTTTGCATGTAGCTGGTGGGTATGGAGGCGCAAGTTTTCTATACGAAGTGAAAAAAAAAAAGTTTTTTTTCCGGATCACTACCGACACTAGAAAATTACTTTAATTTATGGCTTTCGGTCACACGCTAAACCTGAGAAACTTTACTGATATACTCATCGTACGAAAAAATGACCCAGAAAGCACGAAATAGTACAAATGTTGGGGGTTTTACCACTCGCTTGGCTTTTAACGAGAAGTACTGAGACTCTGGACTCTTCTCTCTTTTTATTCTCTCCTACTACAACGTTTCAGATCTTTTCTTCTTCTACTGCTGCTGCAACTGCCGCTAATTAATCTTCTACTTTTAGCAAGGAGTGCCCACGTATTAAATGCAAAAATCACAGACATGTTTGGGTTAGCTGACCGTGGGAGTTTCCATAGTGTATTCGTTGTTTTGCAAAGGGGAAATTGGGTGGCTCGCTCCGAGGCACTTGGCGAGCATCAAGGCCAATGATCGAGCTGCGCACGAGAATCACTCGCACAAACAGGATCTTCAGTGTGGGTAAAACTCAAGGTCAGTTTTACTTACCCAAACATGACCACCTATGAAACTAATTATTCACCTCAACCATAACAAGGGATTAAAATGTCTAGCACGGTAAGAAGGGAATCCGCGAACTGAGCCAAGTTCAAGCACACACTAAAATAAAAGATCAAAACTATAAAACTACCAAAATAACATGTAGGCGCAAAAAGGCAAGGCTCAACAAAACAAAAAGCTTAACTGGGAAAGTCTCAAAACAACAACTTCCAACTCACCTCACAACACAAACACTGTGAGTTGACATTTACCCTTACGGATCCTGATGGTGCATAGGCGGTGAAGGCCGGGAGGGACCACATTGCTGTTGTTCTCTGAGAGAACAAGGAATGCCTCTTGAGGAGCTGACCTGTGGATCAGAGCAGATCCGTTGTACAGCGCAGCCACTCCTGCCTTCATATTCTTTGGCCGGGACAACATAACGGTGTAATTCTTCCATATAACATCGATGCCATATTCTTTCCATTTTTTTGCCATGTCCTCTGCCAGCTTTAAGTTCTCTGAGCCCCCAGGAAAGTGTGGCACTTGGGTAAAATGCCTGCAATTGAACTGAGCAAGCGTTTAGAATGACATTCCAGAACTTAACTGATTAAACACAAGTGGTACCATCAAACTCTCACGCTAGTAAAACATTAAACAAAAAGTGATCCGTGCTAACTCGGCCTAGGTTTGAGTTAAGTATCACTTGTTTCTATAGCTAATTTTAATCAGATCATAAAATCGATGTATAGTGCTCAGTCATCTGGATCAACAGTATTTCTATAACCAAGAAGGCCTGCATGGCATATGCATTATGCAGACGTACAGCCAAAAGTTAGTGCAGGTCCTCTCAAAGTAGGTTTGGTTGAAAAACAAAGCAAAGCAAAACAAAAACAAACAACATCCTCTTAAAAATTTGTTTTAATTGGTCATTATGCTTTTCGCATGGATTCCTTTCTCGAAATTACGAAGCTAACGATCGAAGTGGTTTGAGCATTAGTCACCCTTAAGATCACTGAAGTCAGCGCATTTGTTCAGGAGTGAAAATGTTCACTTTCAGGAAATGGGGCAAAATCAATGCCATTTTATGAATGGAGTGATTAGAGTTCTAACACCTAGGAGAAAATCCAAAAATATAAATTCAGTATATACGATTGGAACTGTCATTTTTGTGAAACTGAAGGTTTAATGGCCCTCCAAAGTCAAATTGATAACTGAGAGGAACAAACAAGCAACGAAAAAAAAAAACAGGTTTCTTGAAATGAGTTATGAAAGCATCAAAACATTTTGAGATTTCATGGTTGAACTAACCAATTTCTTAGAGTTAAGTAACTATATCCAAAACCCAATTTTCATGCTGGTTCTTTTGTTCATAGTTAGTAGTTGAACATGGCTTAAACGTTTCGCAGTGCGATAAAAAATGCATACAAGCAACTTCAGTCGTGTTAGTGCCCCCTAAAACTAACGACAATTTTTCGCTATGCTTCCTGGCAACATTCTGAAAGTGCCTCTTTTGTGCGCATCGTCATAATGAATATTTTGTGAACTCGCTTTCAAAATCTCTTTCCACTGAAGAGTTAGCGACCCTATGTAGACCGCTGACAAGTATATCGCTGACCGAGTACCGGGGATGAGGGAAAAACTGATCGAACAGCCATGCTTCTTAAAGTTAATGTTTATTATTTTATCTACTTTACGAGCAATTCGTAGAAGAATAAGCATATCATTACTTAATTTGTAAGTACGTTACTGTTATTGACAGCTATACTTGTTGTTCTAGTAATTCTAGCTTGTATTTTCTATTGTAGAACCTCTTCAACATCGTTATTCGAAAATAAAGCTGTAACATCGAGAAGAGCTCTTCATCTACAATCAAAGTTCACCATCACGCGTTAAGCGCGTAAAAAGAAAAAAGAGGTTTAAGGTATTGAGGGATTAATTACCCATCGATAAATAAGGATATCTTTGTTTTTTTTATTCCATGCCACGAGGTAGTGAGACATATCGGGGAATCCTTTTTACAATATTTGCCTCATTAGCATAAGCAATTCAGTTTCTGATGGAGCTAAAACTAAATCAGTTCTGAATATCGAAAGGTCAAAGTACGATTAACTCGGCCAATGAATACGAGCCTGATGCATTGAATACTTTTTGTGCAACACGGGTTTAAAAACTCAAAATTTTACATAGAATGTATGAGCTCATTAGCGCTTTTGCCACCCAGAAATTTTGCAGTTTTTGATGGACTATTTCTCCTTGAATATTACACCCAAAGAGCTAAAAATTTCACCATGTACTAAGGTTTTCTAGCTCTTTAGCTACCTGAAGTCAATTTGTATCTAGCATGCTTCCTTATTTTCGCAAAGCCGTATGCAAATGAGCAAAAATGTAAACAATGACGTCAGCATGAATCCGCCTATAAGAAAAGGGCATGAACACAGGCTAGGGATTGATGCCAAACATACTTTTTTACTCTGCAAAATGCATCTCTTGCTCTGATTTGAAATATGCCGGACCGTCGCGTATGAATGACATATGAGGCAGCAACTAAGATTAAGACCTTCAGTTACCAAAAAAAAAAGGCCAGTCGCAAACAGGCCTAAACGTAAACATTTTTTCACTCCGCTTACTTTCAGCAGCGAAATAAATCGCGAAGTTGTTTACTAGGCCGGCTGGCTTTAGCATTTACGGGGTTCTCTAAGTTAGCACGACGTTCTCTAGGAGGTGTCTTTTAAGGTGGTCGTGCCCAGGCAAGTTTGTCACTGAACAAATAACATAGGCCTAGGGTTAGGGGGGTGTACTTGAACCTCTTGTGGAGGTATTATTGCCACCTTAGAGAAATAATTTCCTAGTATAAGATACTGTGGCCTGTATTTTAGTATCTCCTGTCTCATCTAGAACAGCCGCGATCGGGTGAATTTTTGTGGAGGGACCAAAAAATAATTCATGATTCAATTGTTCTAAGCTGATTTGACACCGATTACAAACGTCAGGCGTCTTATGATTAATGTGGAAGCCACGATATCATGCATAATTAACCCCCTGGGCAAAATTTTTGTAATGTTTCAATTGCAAGTTCTTCATATGATTGCCATTTTCAATGACGAAAAATTTTTGACCGCTCATGTACTATGCAAAGTTCTTATACCCTGTGTAATCTCACTACCAACGTTGAGCGTGACACAATAAATAATTTCCCGGACATATTACTCTTTGCATAACTCTTTGCAGCTCCACATCCAATAAAGTAACCAGCCAGTATACCGATCCCGAAAAACACAAAAAGGATGAGAATAATGGACGCAATGATACAACAGCGTCGCTTTGGTGAACGAACGATTTTTTCTCTTCCATGGACAACATCTCGATGCAGTAACACAGTTGTTTAGAAGCGACCGATAATTACTACTTTGTAATTATCAATATTCTCATGGGTGGGTGCTGTTCAGATTTCAGACAGCTGTATGTAACCCACTGTGAAAGCCATGATTAATTCGTCATATTACGGCACTCAGTACTAAAGTGACTCTCCTCACAGACAAAATGCTGCGTTACTGTGAGGGTTACTGACCACGGTTACTTCTTGCACAGACTTGACCAGACGGTACAGCCAAATTATGGCTAGGTGCCACTTGCCGCGTTCACGTTATGCATAACTTACCGTCCACATGAATAAGTAACGCCGCGGTGGCTAAGCTCGCGCGGAATGGGTGTAAGCGAGGCGTGGGAAGAGCGCGAAGGGTGCTTCATGCGCGAGGGGGCACGTGCATTGGCAGCTAAAAAGGGGTTTTTAATGAGAAGCCTTGAGCAAATTTCACACAATAAATCACAATGCAAACTCTTCGGCCGAACATTGTCACTGCCTAGATTATTATAACCAAACCGATGAGACCTGAGTCTGAGAATTCCGCTGTTGATAACGACCAGCGCTTAAAACGCGTTATCAATAAGACGAAACTCGGCGACAGACTAGTCTAACGTAAATCCTACGTCCTAACGGTATTTTCAGTTATCGCAAATCGGATAACTTTATATGTGTGTGTGTGTGTGTGAGTGTGTGTGTAAGTGTGTGTGTGTGTGTGAGTGTGAGTGTGTGTGTGTGTGTGTGTGTCAGTGTGTGTGTGTGTGTGCTGATTGAGCACTGTACTAAGATTCATAGGGAAAATTGCATGCGAGATGTTACACTCATCGTGCAAGAGGATCGTAAACTCAGAATTTTCTCGTCACCCAGCTTTACTTACTAACACCACATCGTAAAACTTGCAAGATGTTCTAACAAAACAAAGCCTTAATTCTGAATTTCCTTCTAACTCCGAGAAAGAAAAACTACAAAAACAATACTTTCTCTCACTACATAACCTTCTCGCAATACGTTAAAATTTGTGTAAAACACAAATGGACGCCGTGCTTGGTTCTTGATATCTCTATGTATTTGGAAAACATGTTTTCAAAATTATGGTTTTCGCCACTACGTATACTTGACAGCAGAAAAGTGTGTAATAGTATCTCACAAGTAGACTTCAGAGTATACATTTTGTCGTTCTATCTTACATCTCCAAAAAAGTACTTAGCTCTACAACAGTGTTTCCTCATTCAGAAACTTTACAAGGAGTTTTATGAAGCATTCACTCAATTGGCGAGAGCTTAAGTATTTGTGTAGCTGAGTTTATGCCATATGCAACAATTGATATCTGCTTCTTGACTTCTTCCTTAGTAACCAATCCTTTTCGAGCGCGATAAATGGCGTCCACCACACCACCATACCAACTGTAGTAAATAGTTGGGCTGTGAACCAAAACGACGTGTCTAAAAAACACAGAATATTTATTAGCTTTCACATAACAAACCTAGCAAGTCTGTGGAAAACTGGAGAGCATTCACGCTAGATGGTAAGGCTGTTTGTACTGTTTAGTTTTGCTCAGGGAATACGGTAAATCAGAGAACTTAATCAGGAAAGAAAAAAAGACAGAAAAGTAAAAAATGAAAAGATCACTTGGTGCTCTTACCACCTGTGTACGGGATAATAACTGATACGTCTGCCTATTGAAATAACTGCTTTTTTGCACAATTCGACTTACCTCTGTAATGGGTTGGCCTGAAGTATTCCCTCAAGATTTATAAATGCCCGTTCAACATTAAGCAATCGGGTGTTTATTTTTCGCGCAACTGCGACGCTGAAAAATTCAATGAAAAAAAGACAATTACTAAACTTGTAGAGGGCACTCACATATTCTCGTAAGCGACAAAAGAAAACTTGCTAGTTTCTTTTACGTTTAATAAAATAGAGGGCAAAATTACTGAATGTTGATTGGTCAGTGAATAGGGTATTTTTTTCTTAATTTTGCCTGAGAAGAGGGTAAAATTACTGGCTCGTGATTGGTACTAGGTTGCCTAGCAACAGCTTATGCTATCGAAAAGTTGTTGCTGAAGATTTTCTGTAACAATGGCGTCTCGTTTCGAGATAGTTGACGAGGAATATATCGAAGAATTAAAAGACATGAGTGAAAACGAAAACACCAGGAAAAGCACGGAGTACTGGAAGAACGTTTTTAAAAAGTGGGCGAATGAAAGAAACTTCCAAGCAAATTTAGAAGAGTACGAGAGCGATGTCCTCGACCGAACACTGGCGCAGTTTTATGCCGAGTTACGAAAAGAAAACGGGGATGAATATGAGCCCGACTGCCTGAAAGTAATGCAGGCATCACTGGAGAGATATCTAAAATCAAAAGCCTATCCAAAGTCCTGGTATCTTTGTGCAAAAATAAAATTTCATTCAGCTCATTCGTGCGTTTGTGGCCATTGATTCTCTGTCAACTTTAAACGGCTTCCTATGACTGATTACTGAAGAGTGCATTCAGAAATTCAGTAATTTCCCCCTCAATTTCATTAACAAGTAATCGCAATGGGTCCTCGTAAAATACAAGGATCAATATCACTTGTGCTTTCAGAAGTTGCTGAAATTTCCCTTGTCGCTTCACGACTCGGGCGATTTCAGCAACTTCTGAAAACACGCCTGATATTAATCCTTAATTTTACTCGGCCCCATGCGATTACCTATACAAACACTGCCGAGCTCCTTTATGAAAGTTATCTCTTTCTCAGTGACAAATTAACAATGTGTTCTACAGTAAATGAGTCAGTACGGTAAATGACGAAATAGCCTTTACAACCGCGCAAGGAAACACTCAAATACAATGAATATATAAAGTTCATATATTTTGAACTGCGGTATTAAATACGTATGATGCACGATCCTTCGCAGTAGATAGCGCTATTTATGCAATAGCGAAAATCAGACCTGAAAAAAATCAGGCCTGTACGGAATATTCATATATTCATTGTATCTGATTTATCATCACGGGTTTACTACGAATCAACTTAACGGCCTGCTCCCAGATGGCTTGTTAGCTCAATTGGTAGAGCGCTGCACTAGTATCGCAGAGGTTAGTGGTTCGAATCCCGTACAGGCCTGATTTTTTTCAGGTCTGATTTTCGCTATTGCATAAATAGCGCTATCTACTGCGAAGGATCGTGCATCATACGTAAACACTCAAATGTTACTGAAGTGTAAGAGTTGAAATACAGCGTGAAGCTTTCTTACTTTTCTTTGTCTGCACTTTTCACAAAGTCGTCAAATTCTCGGGAAGCACTCTGAAAGTTTTCCACAGCTTCGTCGAGATACTCTGTCAGGAATTAATAAAGGCGTTACTTACTCTGGTTGTTTCTGCCGAACATTTAAAAAAAATTCTACAATATACAACAAAATTAGACACACCGTTAAAAATCTATTCTTTGTAACAAGCTCTGAAATGCAGTAAATGACCACCTTCCACCCTCTATCAGTGTCATTATCGAATTTCTGTTTTGTTCTGCATAATCAAGAGAGCCAACGAGAATCTTACAAAGAGCTGGCTATTCTACACTTCTGAAAGAGAGTTGCTTTAAAAATTGTGCATATTATTGCGACGAATGTATAAAATGAGCAAATTCTGCCAAGCATAAACTATAGGGAACCTTCGAGAAACAATGAACCTATCTTCTTTTATCTTGCTTCGACGTTCAACTAACTGCGGACGATAACTTACTTAGCTCTTCACTTGCATTATAGTTTTCAAAGTCCTCCTGAAACGACGTCTTCATTTTTGTATTGTAGATCTTTATATCGACGCCATAAAGAGTCACGTTAAATGGAAGTATTGCAAAATTAAATACATGTAATAGTTATCGTTGAATATGTATTCCTCCTAACCAGCTAAGATATGGTGATTACCACAGTCATTGTCATTATCGGATCTCCGGATCCGTTTTGTTCTGAATTATCAGGAGAGACCTGAAGAAATTTTCCAAGAGCTATTCTATTATGCTTTGCCGTTGTACTTAATGAGAACAATAACTTACTAAGCTCTTCACTTGCAGAGTAATTTTCAAAATCTTCTTTAAACTTCAGCTTTATTTGTGTATTGAAAATTTTCATATTAACGCCGTAATGAGTTACGTTAAACGGAAGTATCACAGAGTCGGCCAACACCATAGTAATCTCAGTCCAGACCCTTGTAGTCACTTGATGGTATTTAAACTCGGGGTCAATCAGAGTTGACATCCACCAAAAATTATCGTGAACTGTGTGATATAAAGGGTTACTGCTGATTTTCTGTAAAAATAAAATCGATAATAATAAACTAGCATGGCTACGTTTAATCATCAGTTGCACTCACTACAAAAGACAAGAAGCTTCTAAGGCCTGGTACAAAAGCCGTATGAAGTACAACTAAGATTCCTTTGGTAAATTATACAATAACTTAGCCTGCGATTTTCTCGTGGGGATGGGGCGGCTGTACACAGGCTAACAATAACTGAGACACTACAAACACTCTGATTGGTCAAAAAAACTATCACTTATTGCACCGGTAAACCCATAAAAAACTTAAGGTTATTTCATAAATGCAGTAGATTGTACTTTCCATTGGTTTGCTTGCTCGTGATTTACGATCTTTTCTCGCGCCCTCTCAACTTCCCGCGTGAGTTATAACGCTGGTAAACTGATAAAAGCGGTCCACTGCTTGATTTTAGCAAGATGAAGGTACGACAAGTTATTTCAAAGGCAGCACGTTATGTTACCGCATCAAATAAAGAATAACGTGTTTACACCTAAGAAGGGCATCCAGTCAATCTGAGTAGTGGCAAAAGCGTAACGAATCAGGCAAAAGTTAGCTTATCTTGAGAGTCTCTTGCGCCTCATTCAAAAATGCCCTGCCGTTAGGGGTGGAGCGATCAGATAAAATGCATCTTATCAGCATGTTCCGGCTCGAAATCAATAAAATTACACTATGATGCATCATTTGCGGAACTTTCAATCCGAGCTTGAAACAAACGACTTACTACTTACACTGTTATATGTGTAACGAATATCCACAATAGGAATTCCAAGCCTTTGGATGAAATTGACATAATCGCTGCCTGCTCTTGGTTGCTGAAGTCTGAAAATGGCAATGAAATAACAATAAGTATTGAGTCATAATAAGTAACTTGCCAAAATACAGAGATCACAAGGACATATTCACAATAATGTTTTTGTTTTTTTTTGTTCACTTTTCCTTCTGTTTTTTCCTTCGTATAAATGTATAGCAGAACATTAAGCTAAATTATCGAGTAATACCTTACCTTGGCAAATAATTAATTAAATAATAATTAATTAATAATTAATGAATAATTAATGAATAATTAATTAATTAAATAATTATCGAGTAATACTTTACCTTGGCAAATAATTAAGGCCCAACCTATTTGGAATTTTCCTGATCCATTCATCAAAAGCTGTCTCATTTCCCAAGGGGCTTGGTACCTGAGAAAGTGGTATCAGTCGTTTGGTTCGATAACCGATTCTGTTACTTAGCAGGTCTGTTACCTTTACTACAAAATACACCCCGGAAAGGTTTCGAAAATTTCTAAATTAGAACGATGACGTAAATTGAAATGTGAGCAACAGACGAAACTTTCAGGTCTGTCTGATACCTCTTTAACCCTTAACAAGGAAGTTAAGTTAAACATGAACGACTGGATGTCGACACAACATCGAGGTCAGTTGCTCTAATCACGTGTCACAGAGCAGTTTGACGTCAATTTGACAGCCAAACAGTATATCGCTACCCCTGTTCCAATTCGGTTGCCAGGGATTTACGACAAAAAATGAGCGAGGTTTGAAGAGCTAAATTTACTAACCTTCATTGCTCCTCTGGCCAGAATCCAGTCCATGAGAGGTGCAGACTTTGCTCGGAAAGAATAGTTTCCTTACGAGTAACAGAGATGACTCATCAACGAAAACGCACTATTTGACCACAAATTTTGGACATCTTCTAGTGACTGAAAAGCATGCCTTGCTGTTTGATGGAATGAAATGTAAATAGACTCGAAAGCAAGTTTCAAAGCTTTCAAAAATTTTACATCAGAAGTTGAATTTTATGTTGGTGAAATTTATTCTTATCTTCCAGTCTTCCTACCGTCAACTGCCATGTCCACATTGAGATAGGCCACAGCCCGGGCAGACAATAACCTCGAATATTCCTTCAAAAAAAAAAAAAACAAGAACTGAATCTGCTTATACGACTCATTAATTTTTACGAGTTTGTCTAACCACAGCCACGTGTGTGCCTTTTTCAAGCGAAATAATTCCTCGAGAAAGTGAGTTATTTCTTAAGGCGAATGTATTTAAGAAATCTCCTTTGAGTGATCTGCAAAGTTAAAAAAGTTCAGTTTAGTGTCGTAAATAATTTTCACCAAGTTTTCACCACTACGCTATGTGACAGGTCTAGTAAATGAGGTCACTTTCTCAACCAGTGAGATCCAAACTAAAACCAATCGCGATCTGATCGCCTGAACTGTTTCGCTTGGGGTTAGTTACATGTTTACTTTGACTGAGTCATTTTTCTGTTCCACTCACTGCCGTCATTAGTCTGCTTTTAGATTTACAACCCTCGGATTAAAATCACTTTATATTAACTAGATAGCTCGTGTTACCTGTGGTTTGTACTACGGTATCTGTGGGCTATGATCACTACATACTTCTAACCTCTGCCTACGAGTGTGAAATATATGTACCTCCAGCCACTCAACAGATCCCATATACTTCGGTTCCTCGGCTCCCCAGCTTAGCATCACTATAGTACGTTTTGGTTGCCATCCTGGAATTTAGAAAAAATTCCATCTGTATTGAAGTTCACGAATTAAGCAATTGCGAAAGCATTGCGATAAATCGATCAAATAAACAGAGCTAAATTTTCTGTTAAAAGATGGATTCCCTACCTTCCTTGAGCTGTGCCCCAAGAGCTCTGGACAACTCCATCAAAGCAGCAGTGCCACTGGATGCATCTGCAGCACCGAATACCCAAGCATCTCGGTGGTTACCCAGTAACACCAATTCATCTGCGAAAAATTGAAACGTAAATGAGCACCTAGCAGTACTTTAAAAGTGAACTTTAACATTTCCGCAGCAGACCACCCCAGCTAACGTAACGTAATTCCTCGAATGCAAAGTCAACAACAGGGGTTTCTTTTTAAATCTCTGACGCTGGCCTACCACCGCATGCGCACTTTTCTCAAGTTCTTCCAATATGCCGCGCGGGATGTTATGCCGGTAAACTGATAGAAAGAGCGGTCTATTGCTTTTATAAAATGACTACGGGTTTCTGGTGCGATAAAAGATAGTTTTTTTTTTACCAATAAGGGCGCCGTTAGTATCTCAGTTATTCTATAAAGACGAACAACACATGGGCGCCTTACTCTGCACGGTTTTCATTTTATTTCCTGCAGGTAAAATCGTCAAAACAAAGCTCCACGGAGAAAGAAGTACGTACAATATTTTTGTCGATTTATTTTGACTCACTTGAGCAGCTCAGATACATACCAGGGTGGGTGGATCCTTTGATTACTCCCATCAAGTTGTAAACATCTGTCACGTATAGTTCATTGGTACAATTCACCTCGACCTCCCTGGGTGAATAAGGAAACATAATAAGGAAAGCCCCAAAGGATCGTCAAAAAAATTAAACCTACTCTGAAGGTATTTTTCATTCCTCCTGAGCCCTAGAGGAAGCTTACATCAATAGACGATATTTTTATTACCTTCTGGCATTAAGCGGTGAGTATAACTTATCTTCGACCACTACCAAGAGCCGAATATCAATTAAATTCTTACTTTCCAACTATTTGCAACGATGCATTTCATCATCACGAAATTAAGGTTTCCGTGCACCTCCAGGGGTGTCTCGCGTGCAAGCGATGTTGCGCGTCCGGTTTAAACTGTAGATATCTAAACCCTTATATCAAATTATAGCTTACAGGACTGGCTATCAGACTATACCAAAAATTTAAAAAAAAAAAAAAGGAATTGTCGAATTTTTCACGACTTCTAAATGCGAGCACCCGAATCACCTTTTAAGAGCTACAAGTCAAAGGGAATTTGTTCGATTGCTCTCAAATTTTGACAGTAGCTAGTTTTACATATAACCAACTAAAACGTGTCTCCGAATTTTATGTCTAAATACTTTTTTTTCAAGAGCGATTGTTGTACGATCACTCCACATTTTTTAAATCCTATTTCAAAACTTTTCAGTAACTTTTCACTGAAATTGAATATGGAAAATCGCAGACAAGTTTTTTTTAGCGCTTTGGCCCCGGAAACGGAGGAACACATTAAATAAACGAAAAAAGAAATTCGCTTTAACATGTAACGTTCAAAAGGTGATTCGGGCGCTCGCATTTAGAAGTCGTGAAAAATTCGACAATTCATTTTTTTTCAAAATTTTTGGTATAGTCTGATAGCCAGTCCTATAAGCTTTAATTTGATATTGGGGTTTAGATATCTACAGTTTAAACCGGACGCGCTACATCGCTTGCACCCGAGACACCCATGAAGGTGCACGGTAACCTTAAATTTCGCATTCGGTTAAAAATTAAAGGACGATCAAATATGAACAAGAGATTATAATCTCTTGGTTTGGAGAATAGTTCGTTGCGTCAAACCGACGAATAATAAAACATTTTTTGAAGCAAATGTTTAATTGCCAGGGGGAATCTATGAATCTTCTGTAATCGCTCTTCCTAAGGCCACAGATCGAATAACACCATTAACGTCCACACGTAAAAGCCCCTACAAACATTCAATGGCTTTTGCTATGTTATCTCCAAATATTTAACCGGATTTTGCCTTTCTCTCACTGACTAAGAATTTCACAGCCAAGCCTGTTTTGATATTAGTCTTTGTAGTTTTCAAAATATATTCTTCACCTTGGATCATTTTTCGCCATCTGTATTCCATACGGAAAGTCCAAACCACCTTGGAAGGAGGAATTGGATAGAACCACATCGCGTGTAAGAATTCTAAATGAACAAAACACATGCTGCACGTGACCATCAAAAAAATACATCCCACTTAATAAAAACTTGTGCCTACCGACAATATACCTCTACAAATAGACATTAATGGAAGGCAAATGTTGCCCAACTGAACAGACTAAAATTGAATGCAGATTAGAGCCAAGTAAAGAGGCATTCTTTCCACAACGTACCACGCCATTCTGGACTTATTGAAAGGTCTCGTTTTTCACAGTTAAGCCATAAAATCACAGCATTACGATTGATGAGTCTCAACTGGAATTGATAATGCAACGGCCATAAAATTGTAGAACTTGTTTGCCTACTCACCCGAGCAGGGCTCAGTGTCTTTATAAGAACAAAATCAAGATATTAAAAAAAAAAACGCTTATACCAACTGACAAAAGAGCTTTAAATAAGGGCATTAAAGGAAGGCAAATGTTGTCTGACTTGTATGAACGGGCTTTCATTGAATGCAGAGTAGAGCCAATTAAACTACTATGCCATTCTGGACTTATGGTCTCGTTTTTCACGATCAAACTATAAAATCACAGCACTAAGATTTATTAAAAAATTCAACAGAAGTTGATGGTGAAACGGCTACTCACTTGAGCAGGGGCTCAGCGTCCTTTTAAGAAATAGGATGAACAGGAATCTGTGGGAGAAGTTTCTTAGCCTCCTCCTTTGGCAGGCGGTACATACCCTCTAGAATCAGAAAAGAGTAACACAATGTGAAAATTACAGTTCTGTGCAAACTTATTCATAGTGTAACGACCTGGTGCGCTCCTTATTCCTTGGTATCTTCACTGATGGCTTAAGGTTAGAGTACAATGGGTTCTTCTCCTTCTTTAGAATTAATTCGCGTAAAGACAGATTTATGTACGTGAGGTATTTTCCAGACAACAGGGGATCAGAAGGTGACAAAAGGATAATGACCCTCAAAGCCTTTTCCAAGCTCTCGGCCTAAGAATGGGGACAAAGGACTGAAAAAAGGGGGCGAGCGAAAACCAGCGGTTACCATGGACCACATAACCACCATTTCCGCCCGCCTTATTATTCGATTATCCCGTTTTATTGCAGAGCATGGCACGGGCTAAGAGATAGATAGATAGATAGATAGATAGATAGATAGATAGATAGACAGATAGTTTATTTGTAAAAAGCTTGCAGCCACTGAGCTGAATTGTGTATTTACAATAAAGTATAAAATATAACTTATAATAGTAATATGATAGTATAAAAGTCCTAAATAAATAATAATATCCTATAAATATGATGAAAGCTTGAACTGTTAAAATAGACCTGGAAGGACCTTCCATCACGCATCTTAACGTCTTGAACGTCTACTTAGATATCCTACTTACTAACTGAAGGGTAGCCCGGTGTCTGTGGATCTCCTCTAATTGGAGTTGATTTGATGTTTCCTCGTTGAACTGCAGAATTAGGTAGCCAATTGTAATCTGGGTACACCATATCAACACCTTGCTTTGCATAATCTTCAGGATCCATGTATAATATCACTCCAATAGCTCCTTCCTTGTGAGCTCGTTTGGGCTAAAGGAAAAATCATAACACAAAGGAAAATCGCACGTAAAAAGATTCTGTACCCTTGCTGTTAATCGCGGTTTTGCACTTTCCATCAGGCGGTCTGTGATTTCGAGTTGACAACTTATTTATTTCTCGCTGAATCTCTCCGGTTCTTCTTCCGAGGAGAACCAAAGAAGCTGAGAACTAGAACAGGAGAGTATCCAGAAACTTTCTAATGCGCAGTGTCAGTTGGCAACATTCTCAGGAGCTTCTCCCCCATTTGTAGACAGTCTTAGCCTAAACTAGAATTTAGTTATGGGCTAATTATATTTAGCTTCAAGGAACTGTCCAATCTTATCAATGACAAAAATGATTAATACTTTTTAAAGAGTTGTTACAACACACATAGGGCCTGGCCAACAAGGTGCCTGGGATATCCACTTAAAAATACAACAATGGCTGGATTCACCTTTTCACTCTCATCATATGAACGATATTGGTTTCTACATTTCGTATCATTTTAACCCCAGAATGTGGTGTAAAATCAAATAGAATCCCATATACGAAATTTTTCTTTTTTCGTACCACTTTTCTCCACGAAAAGCTTCTGATATGCTAAGGAAATATATCCTCATGGTCACTCTTCGGAGTGAATCTGTCCACGACCCCAACACCACCCGATGACTAACCTTAGTAGAACGTCCAACCTTTCCATATCGCATGATGACGATTTTTCCAGTGCAGTTAATTCCTCGTTTTTTGAGTTCCTCGAAGTCTTCATCTCGTCCATAATTAGCATACACCAGTTTCCCCTACGGATTCAGAGCAAAGAAAGTAAGGTGATGAATATGATCATTAAAAATATAACTTTAGATTATTTCAAATTCAACCTGTGAGGTGGTAGTCAGTTATACTTTAAATTAACTTTTCAATTTAGTGGAAAAGAGCATTGGTCTGTGACATCCATGGATACTCAATCAGCCATGGGAACTCTGTGGTGTTACTTTTTTCAGAAACCAGGGAAGCTGGTTTTTAAACGTCTTTAATACTGCTATCTGAATGCACCAACTAGATGTACTGATAAGGGAAAGCCCTTTTCCGTATGCTCGTATTTTATCACTGACAGTTTGGAAGGCTTCGATCAAAATGCCACCCGAGTTGTCATAACATTAAAACCAAAGTCATCACAACGATTAATCACTGCAAAAGGTAGAATGTCACTGAAGGCCAATGAGAAATTAACTCCCAAAATTTGATTGATAATTCTCCCCTCTAGCTGCTGAACGTTTCCTTGTAAGTTAAATGAGAGAATTTGGTGTTAGGTCAAGATAACAACTTAAACATGATGGGTTTGAGAATTCTCATTACCTGTTTGCTGGATAATGTATGGATATTATAGGGAGAAGTTACATGTTGAAATCACGTCTCGGAGTTCAAGGGTCCAAGTACAAACTTGCCGAAGCTTAGGAACACGCGATTTATCGGGTCGAGATTGATAGGGTGGCGTCAGTTTTTAGGGCAGTCACAGTGCGAAGGAAAGAAAAATCCATATTCTTCTGGATTATTTCCGAAACTCGATTGTAAATTACACTATTACTATAGAGGTGGGCTTTTGGTTCTCACGCTGAACCTGAGCAAAGCTGTCATGCGTATAACCGAGAGCACGGAAAAGCATTTAAACTGCGAATCGACACTCACTCTTGCAGATCCTGATGGTGCGTAGGCGTTGAAGGGGGGGACCACATTGCTGTTGTTTTCTGAGGGAACGAGGAATGCTTCTTGACGTTCTGATCTATGCATCAGAGTAGATCCATTGTACAGCGCAGCCTCTCCTGCCTTCATATCTTTTGGCCGGGACAACATAATGGTGTAATTCTTCCAAATAACATCAATGCCATATTCTTTCCATTTCTTTGCCATGTCCTTCGCCAGTTCAAAGTTCTCTGTGTCCCCAGGAAAGTGGGGCACCTTGGTAAAATGCCTACAATTCAGAGTTAAGTTCATTAAATTGATTAAATAGAAGTGCTATATCCATCAAACTCTCGCGCCACTAAAACATTAACAAACAAGCGGTACCAACTCAAACCACTGAGTGACGTTTAATAAGATCATTAGATAATGAAAATCGATGTGTGATACTTTATCAGGATCAGAATTTACAGCAACACATAATCCAGGTAGACGTACATCAATGCAGTCGTAAAGGAAAAAGTAAGCCGGCGCAAGTCCTCTCAAAGGATGTTACGCTGGAAAAAACAAAAAACAAAAAAAAAAAAAAAGAAACAAAAACAAGACAGTTTGGTTTGAAATTCTTCTTAACTGGTTTCAGTTCATGTTTGTCTGTGCACATGTTACTTGCCCCAAAACATTAAATTGACCGTCAAACATGTTATATATAGCTGTTGTCGCCGCCGAGATCATTCCAGTAAGTGTAACGTGTGTGTGAACGTTTTATGGAAAGAAGCATAATTATAAAATCGAATCCATTTTAAATGAAGCTGTAGGAGGTTTAACAACTTGGGAGGAAAACGCTAGAAAATTGAAAATTCAGGGCGATTTTAACTATCATCTTTGTGAAGCGGGTGTAATGGTCTTCAAATGCCAGAATAATAGTGAGAAAAAACAAGTAACAAAAATTGTAACTCTCCCTCATTGAATTTATGCGAAAAAAAAATCACGCTGCTTTTGGTTATTCTTCCTTCTGGAATCAAAAAATTTTGAGATTTCACGGTTGAATCAACCGATTGTTCAGAGTTACGTTACGTAACCATTAATGATAAGTGCTTGTCGGGTGGTCTTACTAATAGCACGTTAACCGAATCAATGTTTCGCTTTTGATAAAAACACCCTTTGTCTTGCTAATGCGACTAGAACTTACTCTGCGACTTATCAGCATTCTGCAATCGCCTCTTTTGTTCGTATCTTTAAAAGGATATTTTGTGAACTTCCGTAAATATATTTTGTGACGTTCTACTAATGACACGGGTGTATGTTCATTTTGTATGAAACGTGATCACTGCAGTGGTAATTCAGGCTTGCTTGTAGGTATCATGCAAGTGAAACCTTTGGGGGCTACTATGCTATCTAAGATTTTGTATGGAGTTATGCAAGAGCCATTCGAAGGCATCTCTTTCAACTTTGCTCCAATGTTCATTTACTACTGTATTTTCTTTATGATGAAGTAACGCTCGCTAACTATGCTCTATCCTGCATCAATAAACGAGATACCCGCTCCTGAAGCTGTGTTTGTGTTTATCAAATTAGTTACAAAATATTTCATAATCGTTTCAGGGTAAATAGAGTATAAATGTTTCTTTACTACCCAAGTCCACCATAACGCATTAAGGGCGTGAAACGAAGAAATGGAATCAAGATATTGATGGATCAATTAAACAGCCATCAACGTGAGTTTTTTTGTTTTCTGTTTTTGTTTCCCGGCCATGTCAGGAGATGGAGAGACAATTAGGTCATGAGAACGAAAGAGGGCATTATTTCCCGCTGGGGATGTGTGACAAATGTACTTTTTTATGAATAAAAAAAAAACACTAAATAAAATTGAACAGATAAATCTATTGCAGCTCCGATTTAAATTATGGAGATCCGCCGACAATATTATCCCCTAGTTACTGACTTGGTTAAACAAAGTCCCTTTTAAAGACCAACCTGACATGATTAGACGATCTAAATGCATCTTACGTCCAGAAATGTACCGGTCTAAATACATCGCCAAGTTGTTTACCAAAGGTCGGCTTACATTACCGTATGTAGATAAATTGAAAAATAAGGCTTCCTTTAGATGTCTGCTCGCTGTGCACCATTATGTAGTCATCTACGTTTTATAAGATATGAACTATTTACAGGGTTCTCAAAAGTCTGTTTAATAAAATCTCTCTAAGAGTTGAAGGTGCCTTTTGGGTTATACGTGACCAAGGTGAGAGTGTTATTTTCATTAGCTAAGAACTTTTTGTCAACAAATAACATGGGCTTAGGGTTAGGGAGGTACTGTTGAACTTCTTGTGGGGGTATTAGTGCCGCCTTAGAGGAATACCCTTCCAAGTAAGATAGAGTAACCTCAATTTTCGCCTCTCCAGTGTCGCCGTATAGACAGCCACGATCGGTGAACTTTTGGAGGGAGAGACCAAAAAATAAGTCATGAATCAGTCGTTCTTGGCTGATTTCACACCGAGTTACAGCGTCTTCCGATTCTACAGCATTTTGGATGGCTGAGTACTGTGTCAATCTGGATGAGTCCGGATGAATATATGATATTTCACAGCAACAGTCCTAATAGATTACCTTGTACGAACAGAATCGCTTTGCATCCAGAGCAGACACGTCTGCGATTGTAATTGTATTGTACACTCTGTTTTAAGGAGATGGGGCGAGTATCAAAACCAAATCCTGTTGGTAACCGTGTGCTCGCGTAGGATCCCCGGAACAGAGAAAAAATTTAAGAGTCATGATATCCTGTATCATTAACCCCCTTGGTAAAAGTTTTGAAATCTTATGACCGAATTCGGTTTTAATTCAAGTTCTAACCTTCACTGCCATTTTAAGTGGCGAAAAATTGCTCATTGCTGCCTCGCTTTGCAAAAGCGTCATAGAAATTCACTTGGACATTGCAATCGATTTTAGATACGTTGCGCAGCTACTGCACGTAGTTTCTTACCACTTACTTCAAGTTTTTTCTCAGTTCCTCAGTAGAAATCATGCCGACAGCTTTCCTGTGGAACTCTTCGAGCTGCTCCTGGGTATGGCCCTTCGGCGGCGGCTTGCAGCCGCCATTCTTATCGCCATCCTCACAACCCTTTGCAGCTCCACGTCCAATAAAGAAGCCAGCTAGTATACCGATCCCAAAGAACACAAGAAAGCCGAGCACAATCAAAACAATGGCACAATAGCGTCGCTTTGGTGTTTTGTAAGCCAACATTCCTTCCTCTTCCACTGACAACATTTCGATGCGGTACCGTACCTCTTTTAAAGAGATAAAAAATATATATACTTCGTAATTATTAACAAGAGTGGGTCGGTTTAGATTACAGACAGTTGCATGTCACATGCTGTCAATACCATTATTAATTTGTCAAATTATGCAGAGCTTGACTTGACTTTTTACGTCACTTAGCACTCAAGTCACGAAATGCCAGACGATTGATAAGATTATTTTATTAATAGACCGGGGGCATAATAGTATTCATTATTTTCGTCTCGTCTGCTAACCTACATGCAGGTGCCACTTTTTGCCAAGTTCACGATAGCACCACTAATCGTGAAAACGCATATTAACAGGTGTAGACATTGCATCTGCTCAGTGGCAGATACCAGGTGTGAGCGGGGCCTGAGGTGAGCGTGAAAACCGAACCTCACGCGAGAGGACACGCGCCCATACTGCGCTCGCCTACAAAACATAAGACTCCACAAATGACGCCTACAAATTACAAATGGCCCTGCGCCAAGAGCACATATAATCTGGAAATAAACAAATGCAAAAGACGGTAAACTTTGTCACTGTGATTCATACTAACGAGAATATTATGTCTATTCAAGAAAATAGTATAGTCTATATCAAATTGGACAGGGGTGTAGATACAGAATATGGTATGACATGTAAGGTCATACAGTTTAGACTTTTTTTCGTCTCATTCCAAGTAAAAGAAGAATACTGGCGGAATGACTTCAAACTGTGTAAGCCAAACGCTTTACAAAAAATGTCGGTGTTAAAAAACTATGACGTTTCGCGCCAGTGATATCATTTTGGGTAATCAAGTGTGAAGATGTGCATGTGGTCATATTCGTTTTGTCATGTCACCGGCCGTGTAACCCAAACTGAATCGCATCCTCGAATTTGGTCGGTTTTTGTTTCTTTTCACAACGAAAAAGAAAAATTGAAAAGTTTTATCTTTGAAAAGCTACCTAAAGTTTGTCAAAGCAGGACTAACAACGAAACTCACTTGGATTCTTTACTGAGACTTTTAATAAGGTCAGTGAGGAAGACAAAGTTTGATTGGCTACGAACGAGAAGCATCCAAACATAGTCATGATTAAAGAAAGTCTCGTTATTGAACATTTTTCTTTATTTATTCTGATGAAGAGAAAGGCAAAACAAGAAAGCAAGATAATTGGAGCTGACTCGAGCCCCAGGGTGAAACAGAGATTGCACAGTCGAAGTAAATAGACCAAAGACGATATATTTTAAGATTCATGGATCTCTGATAATTAAGGTCAGATATTTCAACCGTAAAAACGAAAACTAATGACAAAGATTTCCAGCCTTTACTCCGGTTTTGAGCCCACGATCTTGATGCATGTGTACTGAGGGAAATCAAACGTAACTGTCTGAACTGATACTTACAATGGACTCTGACTGCGTCCTGCCTTCTCAAATCTCCTAGAGACCAGTGAAAGGTAACCAATGTAGCTGGATGCTTTTTGGCGCTAGATGAAAACAAATGCTGTGGAACCACGAAACTGAACAGCGAAGCATCGATTAGAGAATGCATAACACGGGGGAAACACTTCTCCAAAACAGCCAGTTATGCACGCTGGGAGAAAGGTTTGACACCACACTGGACCATGGTATGGAACTCTTTAGCACCAAGTTAAGAAGCATCGATAAATGCATATTCACTAAAAACTCTCTCAACGTAAACTGGACGTTTAGGTCTGATTTACCTACCCACCCCAGCCCCCTACCTATACCTACCCCCCCCGCCACCTCCAGCCTTCTATTTTTCATGTAAAAGCCTTGAAGACATTTTATTGCCTCGAATTTTCCGAGAAATTACCGAAAATCACCCTAGTCCCGTCATTGTGCGTAACTTTCATCATTGGTATGTTTAGAGGAAAAAATTCTTGGCAGATTAAAAAAAACTAATAGAACATTTATTGAATATGGTTAACCTAAATCTTCTCTTTAATACCTGTTTACTGAACCATCTGAGCTGGAAGTTTGATTTTTAGAACCCTTGAAAAAATGCCTTTAGACGAGGCTGCTCCATTGCCGTCTCATCCATTATTTTGTATAATGTCAATCCTTTCTACCTCACGTTTGACAGCTGATTATGACCGGTTGACTTTCAACATTTCACAGATGTGTAGAGTTTGTATGCACCTCGCGCCATTTTCATCATAAACATTTGGAGTCATCAAGAAGTCCTGGGTACGATAGGACGGTGATGACAGTTGCCAGCGTTCTTTCACATGAGTGATCTTTTCGTTTTCCTGAAAACCGAGTTCCCATTTCGTGATCTATTCCTCAGTGTACTTTTCTTTAAGTTTCAGAGAATGGCTAGACAAATACCTCTAACATGTAGCGGGCATACAAGACCGGTGGTTCATCTATCTTTCTCTGATATAACTCCTTATGGGTACTTTCTTATAAGCGCGTGTAAAGGTAAGGTACTAATTACGTATATTTAAAGAAAAAAACTAAACTCTGTCTGTTTCGGTCGTCCACACATCCTGTCTGATAAGGACAAATCACTGCAGCCGTTGTATGCGCTCTACGGGTTAACATATTTGGTAAAGAAACACAGGCCATCGCTAGGACATGGTGAGGGAGCTTTTGAATTTTAAAGGCAGAAGCCGCACTTACGCGCGTTCTTCATGTTCTTCTTCTTCTATTGCCGGCAAATTGCTGTCATAAATTTTGACAGGAAAAAAGGTCGCTTTTTTTAGCACCTAGCTTTCTGTATTTTACCCTTCTTACTTCGGAGTCAATTTTATACCCTTGTCACAAACGACGGTCAATCAGCCACACATGTACTGAATCTCACGATCGCATTAAGCCTCTTCTTGATCCCAAAATGATCGTCGAATATTTTTACGTTAAACTCCTAAAAGGTGCGACTCGAACATAAACACGAACATAGACCCCTCAGAGAAACCACATATGATATGGCAGAAAAGTAAGCGCTATAGTAACCTTGATGGCATAAATTACGTTCAAAATGACTTTCTCTTAAATAGATCAATCTTGTTTCTTTAATTTTTGTGCTTGAAAACCATAGAGGAAACCTAAACAATTGAAAATGAGGGGAAGAGAATTCTGCATAACCCCATACCAATCAAAAACAAAGCTGTAGTCCCACAGGTAATCCATTGCTTTGCCTCTGTTTTCTTTATCCAAGAATTGTATGCATAATGAAGTATGGGGTTAGATGGAAATCTTGCCAAATGTGGGAATTTGTTCTTGAGTGCACATAGGATGACCAAAAAGGCAAGATTATAGAGGACAAGCTATATTATTTTTTAGGGTAGAATCACTCTCTCCTCCCCTCCCCTCCCACCCTGCTTCATCCTGAGGGGGATATGATGCAGCAGAACAAAAGCCCAGGATTTGTTGAAATGAATCTCTTTTTGATTATCTGTCAACCATTTTTCATCATGTTTAATGAACTAAATTTTTGCACCATAGTTTGTGCTTACCACAGTTAGTTTAGCATTTGAAAACTTATCAGTGCCACCAAGAAGAGGAAAAATTCTAAAAGTTAAGGTTTTTTCAAAGGACTGTTTAAAATATCTGTTTTCACCAAAGGTGTAATTTTTTCCTGTCACATAGTATTCCTTCTCTTCTTAACTTTTCCAATGCCTTATCTTTTAATCTAATGTTTAGTCGTGTCATGTTTTATCGGTTCAAGTTTAATTATCACCAGTTGTACATAGAAATCATGTGAAGAAGACAGTGAGCAAAAGTGTAATGTATTATTGTTTTGTATTTTTATTGTTGACACAGATGGAAAGCCCATGTTACGACAAGGTGACACAGGAGACTGGATTGGTACTTTTGAGGGTCACAAAGGAGCAGTATGGAGTGCTACCTTAAATAAAGATGTTACCAAGGCAGCAACTGGGGCTGCAGACTTCACAGCGTGAGTAATATATGCAAGTATAGGTAGTGGTTTATGATAACTTTGCCTCTTACCATCTTCAAGGTTTTTTTTTTATAAGATTTGAATCAGTGGTCACAGCTAAGGTTTCTAATAGAGCCATGCCATGAAAAAAGTTATGGAAATTATTGATGGAGTAATTTTTGAAACCCAATCATCACCAGTAGTTCATTCTAAACCACATGGCATTTATATTTCCCAGAAAAGGGATTTTTGTTCTCTTTCTTTTCTTTTTCCCCTGCTTTCTTTTGTTCACAAGTCAGCAAATAAAAGGATATTTTATTTATTTATTTCACAACAGTAAAGTATGGGATGCTATCAGTGGGGATGAAGTTAGAAGTTTACCACATAAACATATTGTAAAGGTTGTGGATTTTTCTCCAGTAAGTATCAGAAGCTCCATGAAATTGAAAATATTTTCCACGACCCTTTCACTCTGAACAAGATCTCATCAGCAATTCCCCTTACTGTCTGCCATACAATTCTTATAATGTTTGTTCTGAGAATTTGGATCAACTGTCTCATCACTTTTTTGCGTGATGTTGTATTGATATTGTTATGAGAAATTCTATCTTGGTCCCTCATGGGAGTTTAAGGATTAAATAACAATAAATCTGGGTTTGTTAGAGTGGCATAAATGATTATAATTTGAAGACTTCATACATTCCCTCATAACTTTGGCTGGAGGTATTGATAACTGTAATTTTGAGCAGATTGGATTTTGAGTTTAAACTAAAGAAGTTTTTCTCAGTGTCTTGCAGTGCTCTGCAGTTCTTGCATTTGTTTACTTGAGTTGATTGTGAAACATGCTATCAAATTTTGGTGCCTGAAATGCGAGACCTTTTTCCCAGTATAGAATAAACTATTATATATAATAATCGATATTATGTTTTTAATTAACTCTGATCATAATTGAGCAATATGTACAATTTAGTGATCTAATTTAAATGAGTTTTAAAAACCAAAAGCAGCACAATCTCCCAATTGAGCTAACCGCTGCCTGGTTAGCTCAATTGGGAGAGCACTGGACTGCTGTGCGGGAGGTCGAGAGTTCAATACTGGCCGGACCAACACTCAGGGTCTTAAAATTAATTGAGAAGAATATGCTTCCTTTCTTTAACATCAAGAAATGGTTAGATATTCTAGTCTTCTCGGATAGGGACGAATAAATGGAGGTCCCGTCTCCTGCAGGGTTGGGGTAGGAGACATTAATTTCCCACACACGAGATTACTGTGTGATGGATGTCCTCCCTGGGCTGGGTTGGGTGGGTAGGTGAAATCGCTATGGACTAAACACGGCTACCAGAGGTGCCTGTCTGATTTCAACCTTAAAATTGTAACTAAACACGTATGTTGTTTCAAGAAATAGAGACCTTTACCTTTGATGTCTAATTTTGTGGAGGTGTTTATATTGAGACTGTGGAGGTGCGGTGGCCTCATGGTTAGTGCGCTCGACTCCGGATCGAGTGGTCCGGATTCGTGCCCCGGCTGGGACATTGTGTTGCGTTCTTAGGCAAGACACTTTACTCTTACAGTGCCTCTCTTCACCCAGGTGTATAAATGNCACAGAGCCATTTGCTGTAACATAGTCCAAAAATAATTATTTTATTATTTTTTCACTTTTTATCACTTTTTGACTTTAATTTTGATGGAAATGTACATTGTAATAAATATCTGTAAATATTTTTATTATTTTGCATTAATAACACTAATTTTGGTATTACCCACAATCCCTTGTGGGCGTGGCACATTTCTGTTTTTTCGTAAAATCTTAAAAAATTCAATGTAAAAATGGGAAAAGAAGAGGTTTTGTAATTGTTATTTCACATTGTTATTTCTTTTGTTTCCATCTACTTCGGTTGAATTCCCTCAGTGAACTGCACTACAAACGGCGCACGTGGTGAAAATCACGCAATACATTTATTATGATGCAATAATCTGCCCCTGCAAACTCTTTATCGACTCCCCTGTTATTGTCTGTGTAAATGATCCATGTGTTTTCGAAGAGAAGCTGCGAAGGGGCAGATTTCGTGGAAGTTTTGGGGGTGGTTCTCGCCATATCTCTTCGTCACTTTCCTTCGTTACGGTTCATGAACACGGCAGCAATGGCGGAAAGTGTTTCCGCGTCGACCAAACGCAAATTTCTAGCGTTAGATCCAACGAAATGGGTTGAAACGTTCTGTAAATTTAGCTTAACACAAGCCCATTCTAGGAGAGGTGACCTTGTTTATTCAACTTAACAAGAATCCCGTCTGCCTACGGATCAATTGGTGGATATGTGATGGAATTAAGCTCAATATGGCCGTTACGAAATGTGTTTCCGCACGTTTTATTTTGATCTGGAAAACATTCAACTCGGCGGTTCAACTTCAGCGTTGGTTTGTAAATACTGCGATGTATGCCCATTACATTTTTGTTATTTGTTTGTTTCTTACACAGTCGAAATTGTCATTATTGCTAGTTTTGTACGCTATGGTTGTTTTAACGGTTCCGAGCGTTACATCGTTCTGTGATAAAAACAGACGTTTATAACTTAAGTCAGAATAAACCATTCTTGTTGCAAATCATACTGCCTGTTGCTTTTGCCATAAACTACTAACGGCCAAAAAATATTGGCTCCACGTGCATTCGGTATCGTAATATTACATTTTTTTCTTCCGTCTGATTCATTTCATGTTACGCGTTACACCCAGAAATTCACTCATTTTCAGGAAATATTTATTTTTTACAATTTTAACTTTGTCCCAAACCTTGTTTTCTTTACACCAAAACGAAGTAGGATAACTAAGCTTACACTGTGGAAAGTGTGAGATTTAGAGGTTAAACCTTCCCGAAGATATTCGTTAGCAAAGGCACTTGAGTCCAAAATGGCGGGGTGACTGTGCTACTCATCATATCCAAATTACTTTTTCTACAGCTCAGTGTTACAGTAATTTTTTTTGTCATTAGGATGGGAAGAGACTCCTTACAGCCAGTAATGAAAAGCTCTTGAGAGTATTTGATCTTCAAGATGAAAGTGCTGGTAAATAGTTCTTCAATTTATTTCCTTTCAATCATTTGGGTTATGGGTACTTAATAGTGACTCAAGTTTTCTGTACATACAGTTAGTATTATCTGAGGCTTGTAACTAAGCTATTACTTTCTGTTGCTATTGATTGTGTCATACATTTTTTAGAACCAGACTTATTAAAAGGTTATACTGAAGACATAAGAGCTGCACTGTGGAGCAAAGATGGCAAGTATATCATGAGTGGAGGAGAAGATAAAGCAGTAAGGTGGAGTGCTACCTTAAATAAAG